GTGTTTATAATTTTCTTTCTAAGCATAACGAAACAATATTCTGGGTACAAAATTCTTTTTCTTCCTACCTACCACAACATTCTTTTCTGTAGACTATATTTATCTTATAAAAGTTAAACTTCAGATGTTTGGGGAATACAAAGATAATAAAATTGATCCTTAAAATATTCTTTATCTGACTATTCAAAGGGAATGGTGAATGACATTTCATTCTTTTTTCCTCTTTTGCTCTGGTCATTATTTTCTATCTCAAGCTCTTCATCGGGTTTCTAGAGATGCTACTGGTCTTCACAAATGAAAATCAGCATGGATAGAAGTTGTCAATTGTGCTCATTTAAAAAGAGAAATTCGCTATTGTTGAATGATTCTTTCATCAAATAATTTTTTGGAAGACCGTCATTGTTTTACAGCTTGAGTGATCTAAATACTGCCTACATTTCTTTAAAAAGAATCTACTTAACATGTGATTTCTTTGGCTTAAACACTATTTGTGAAAATCAAAAAGCCCAAGTTTATTCTTAAAAGATTCTTCACTGTTACAAAGAGGAACAGCATTCATTTCAGTAAGAATTCATAGAAGAAAATTCCTGATAAAAAGAAAATTTCCTCATTAAAAAATACTCTGCTATTTATTTCACCAAATAAATATTTGCTGGAGAAAATGTCATTCTATGAAAGAAGACCTGTTATCTTTTAATACATGAATGTCTTCATTGTATTGTGATGAGTGAACCACAAAAAATCAAAACAAAACAGTTTACATTACACACAGACAGACCTTGTTCTTATTATAGTTGGAAGAATATCAACAGATCAAAGAACAACTGAGGATAGAATATGAAGTACACGTATAAAATGTTAAGTATAAAAAAGTTAAAAATATTTTTATTCTTTAAAATGATGTATATTTATGTGTTTCAGTATGTGGGTATGTGCACATGAGCATAGTTACTTGCAGAGGCCAGATATGCTGGATCCTCTTGAGCTGGAGTTAGAAGCAGTTGTATGTTGCCCAATGTGGGTGCTGGGAACCAAATTCAGGTCTTCTGGAAAAGCAGTAAGCCCTTTGAACTGCTGAACCATCTCTCAACTGATTTTTAATATTGTCATTACCTAGAGAAATTAGTAAACATATGCAAATAGATGGAATGTCTTTCTGCTTAAATACTGCCCTTAAATGTATAGAAAGAAAGGATGAAATTATTAGGTTTCAATCATAACCATTTTTATTTTGTTTTTGAGACACAGTCTCACTATATAGCCTAGGCTGGTCATCTTGAACTGAAGATATTCTTGTCTCTGCTTCTTGAATGCTGAGATTATAGGTATGTGTTATCACGATTTTTTTTTCAATGTTAGGGATGGAACCCAAGGACTTACATGATAGATAAGTACTCTACTACTGAGTTACATCAAAAAATCTTCCATTTCAGTTTTTAAAATCAGTTGATGCTTCTAAAGATTACTTCCCAAATATTTTGTACTCCTGTTGACAAGTCATATCATTTAATTATACTTTATTATAATTTGTAGTTGCCTATTTTATTGTTTGTAAAATCAGGAGATATTGTCTAGCTGCTCAGCATTGCTTTCCTATCACAAGGCAAAGACTTATTTAACAAATAAACTTGTTTGGGAGACAGGTAATATCAGTCTCAAATAGACACAAAGGTCAGAAACATCAAGCAACTTGCTTAATGTAATGAGGTTACTAAGTAGAGAAGGAAGTATTGGAATCCAGGTCTGTTACCAGGTCAAGTGAGCTTTGTAAAGCTGATCATTCAAGACTGTATTGTATTTCTCATGCAAAGAAAATTTATTTGCACGTATGTTTCTGTACATGACAGACTACATGCTTAATCTGAAACCTAAAAAGGTGATTTCTATAGGGTTGGATAAGATGTTCTAAATTATAAATATTACAACCAAGATGCATTAAATATCAGAATGTCAAATTTAAGATGTACTTTCAATTTTGTATAGAAAAACATTCCTTGGATATTGTATACATACCTCAGATTGAAAATTTGTTACTTCTCTTTTATATCATAATACAGCTAATAAAATCATCTACCCATATCTTCATTAGAAACCTGAGACTCAATCATTTTTTACTTCCTTTCTGTCCCCAATTTTTATGCTGAAAAATTAAATTAAAATAAATACTTAATCTAGAACAAAGTTAAAATGCAGAAATCTATGCATGACTTGGAAATGATTCAGGAAATGGGAACATGAAGCCATACTTAAAAACAACATTTGAAATCAGATGCTGATCAATGAATTAGAAATTTGTATAATAATGAGAGGTTTACCCTGAGAGTTGTGGACTGGTGACAAATGCCTTTAAAGTGATTATTATTGCTGAATATAACTTCTAAAATCTCCATCTAGGTAAAAATTCATTTTTTACTTTCATTCATATTTCATGTCCCTGTTGGAATATTAGTGCTTAGAGAGATCTTATAATCTTCACTCCTTCTTAATAACAAAATTCAAAATAGTTTCTCTTTTTACATTATTTTAACCCAACATTTAAGATTTATTCAAAAAATGAAACTAATGGAAAAAATTTTCAATTTTCTGATTTCTTTTGTTTTTGAAATGTGGTCTCACTCTGTAACCCAGGCTGGCCTAGAACTTACTATATAGCTTAAGCTGGCTTCAAACTCATGTAATCCTTCTGCTTCAGTTTCTCCAATGCTGGAATTACAGGCATGAGATACCACATCAAGCTAATAATTTTATCTTTAAGGCATATATTCTAGTACTGCTAAATTTTTTCTAAAATAATATACTCTTTCTTATATAAAAATACAGTGCTTTATATGAACTTGTAATCAGTTTGGGTAATGGACATCTAAGTATTAACTAATAAAAAATATCAAAATAGTTATTTGCTCCATTAATGTTATGCAGTAAACATATTACTTATATAAATATTAAATATTTTAGTTTTAGAATTTTACTTTGGTGAGTTTGAAAATACAAGTAATTTTTAAAATTGATTTAATATTCTCTTTGTAAATAAAATACAAACTTTTGAGGCAATTAAATTTAGCCTCAAGTATTTCCAAAAATATTTGATTGCAGTACATAAAGGAAACACATATGCTCTCTTGAGTAGTCTTATATTTTCAGAAGTTAGGTTTTTAAAAATTTATTTTCTATTTTTTTAATTTTTATTTTATGTGTATGAGTGTTATGCCTGCATGTAAGTAAGTGCACCCATGCTGTACAGTGCCCATGGAGGACAGAAGAGGCTGTCGGATCCCCTGGAACTGGAGTTACAGACAGTTAACTGCCATACAGTTAACTGCCATGTGGGTACTGGGATTTGAACTCAGGTCTTCTGCAAGAACAGTCAATGTTCTTAACCTCTGAGCCATCTCTCCAGCCCCAGACATTAGGTTTTAATATGTGGTAGATTAAACATCTTACAGTGAACGTAACTTTTAGTTTTAATTATTTCCTGGACCTTAAAGTCTAGGTGTACAGTCAGAATTTAATTTAGTCACTGAATTGTGGTGGGTGAATGCACCATACATTACTCTGTTTAGTGATGTAATAACAGGGATAAGATATTCTATGTGATTCAGATCTTAGGAACATTACATCTTCATTTATAGTAAATATTACTGGTACCCAATGGTACTAACACATATTTTATGTATAGAGGGTTATTAGACTTCCTCTTTGAAGATTTACTGTCCCTCTCTGTCTCTCTTAATTTTTTTTTTTAGTCTTTTGAGACAGGGTCTCCCTGTAGCCCCAGCTGGCCTGGAACTCACTATGTAGACCTGGCTGGCCTAGAACTCATAGAGATTCTCCTGCCTCTGCTTCCCAAGTGCTGGGATTAAAGGCGTGCACCATCACACCTGACTCAGTCTCAATTTTTAAATAATAAAATTAATTACTATTTATTTTGATATTTATTTTTGAAATACATATAAATTCAATGATACCCAAGTAGAAAAATACTACCATGAAGATTTTTGCTAAGAATGTTTTATCTTTTATCATATAATGTATAACAAAACTATACTATCTACATTAAAAACTGTCTGAGATAATTTCTAGTCAAATGCAATTATAACTCATAAAACAGAAAAGTTGGAATTGAGATAGTAATATATGTATTTAAATCTGATTGTAGGGGGAAAAGGCCACAGCTTGAAAAATTAATTGTAATGTTCTTAGAATAAATTTAATAAATAGCTTGACATCTAACATCATGTCTTATTAAATGAGAGTATCACACTTAGTTGTTTTGATAACAATATTGGTTTCATCACACAGAGAACTTAAAAGAACAAGTGCATAATTTACCCATAGAGGAGACATTGCAGCAGAAAGTACTCACAACTGTAGTTAGGTTTGTTAGTTACTTTGTCATACACAGAATATGTTAGGCAGCTAATAGTATCTAATCTTTCCCCACCACAATTCAATGACAGATTATAAAAAGTAAAGATTAAGAAAGTCCCTCCCTCCCCCAAAGGTTGGCATTAAAACTTTCTTTCTAACAAATTTAGTTTTGTTTCCAAATAATAGGCAGCAACATTCCAAGCTGAACACATTTGAAAAAATTTGGAATGATACTAGAGCAGGGAGCTACCCCAGCCGGAATTTTTTTAAAATTCCCATTTGTGATGGTATTTTATTAATATTGCTGTTTATTGACCAAAAAAATAAATTCGTCATCAGCATAAAAAGATAAATTTTATATCTACACTGATGAATTTCCTAAAAAAGGACAGGTCTACAATAAAGGAACAGGAATAATACCTTTACCTGTGATGTAGGAGTAGGCATACTCTATGAAAAATCTATTGTACTAATAAGACAATTTGTGTAACAACAGGTGGTAACGATCATTTATATTCTATTCATTTTTAATAGTATTTCACATGCAATCCAACCTTGACAAGCAGGGGGATATCAGATAGTTTTCCTGGATTCTGTAGTAGAAAATGTAAGATGCAAGGAACTGTACTTACTTTTGGTGTTGGACAGGAGGCTGTAGAAAGGCGAGATGTAGCCTGAGCACGAGGCGATTCTGAAGGAGTAGTGCTGAGGGAGGCTGTGTCTCGTGGGAGCACCTGAACACCACGGGAAATGATGGAGTCTGGAATCTAAACAAGAACAGCTACAGTTTAATGCTGCGAAAGGTTATCAACATAGGAAATTGTTGCCCACATCTTTTTTTTGTTTGTAATTCTTTGCTGCTCAGCTCTCATATACTTGGTATGACTTATCAGGTAAGAACACATCTAATACTTGATACAGAAAACTTTACTTTTACATTTTTTTCCTCTGACAAATACATGATGAAATATTTTAATGAGAAGAGGTCCAATATCATGGTTAGGAAGAAAATATATGTACATATTTGTATAATGACTTTGCCATTTAGTAATGTGAAATTTTGATCAAGACACACCTATATATATATTTTAAATAATACTTTTATTAATTCTTGGAGCAATCCAGTATATTTCAAGCATGTTTACCCCCCATCTCCTCTCAAATCCACCTCCATCTCCCTATGTCCCCCAACTTTGGTTTTTTTTGTTTATTTTTCAAAAGAGCCTTACTGTTCACAGCACAATATTCTCCATAACCTCCAAGTCACACAATGGTCATTCTATATCTGTAGCATTACCACAGAATGTTTCTGCACTGATGTGATAACATGATACTACAAACTTTTACTTCTGCACGTTCACTCACTTTCATTTTTATATATGTGTAAAGAAAGACTAACTCTTTTTTTGTTTCTATGTGTATGTGTGTAATGCCTGCATGTGTGTAAGTGCACTTGTGTTGTGCAATGCCTAGAAAGTCAAAAGAGGGTGTCAAATTCCTCTGGAACTGGAGTTATGGACAGTTGTTAGCCACCATGTGGGTGCTGGGAATCAAACCCGGGTCCTCTGTAAGAGCAGCCAGTGCTCATAAAAGCAGTCTTTCCAGCCCCGAAAGAGTAACTCTTTTAAATACAAAAATAATTATTTTCAAAAAAAGCATATCAGATTTTAAAAGTTTATGATGCCTAACATAATTCTCAGCTACATTAGCCTGAAATGAACTGTATCACTAGTCATTGCACACCTATGAAGGTTACCAAGGAAAAGATGTTAAAGGGAAATTCAAAAATTATTACCAAGGCAACAGTCAAAATAATTGAAATAAGTAGATTCTACTGTAAGCCACCCTTTCAAACTTGCTATAAATAATAAGAAGAAAAATTAAAAGTATATAATATGGGTCAGTAAAAGGAGGGTCAGTTAAAAGAGAAAGTACTATTTAAAATGTCTTTTAGAATGCATGTATTTATATTTACATATAATTATATTAAAATATTAATAAATAATTTCAGTATATATCTTTATGCATGCAAAATATTTGTAAAGTTTTCAGTGATAACCTAATATATGGTTTCAGAGTTTGGTGTAGTATATATTATTTGAAAAGAAATTAGGAGCTCTGGAGAGTCTTTTTCAAAGTCCATCAATTCCAATTTGTGTTGCCCAATTTAGTCTTTGGTGTGGGTCCATCCCCTGGAGCACAGTTGACCTAGCAGGGGTCACACCCTTAAAGAACAGTGACTCTCACTCCCTCAGAATTTATCAATTGCCCAAAGCTCCTCAGCATTCTGCAGACTCATATTCTCTATGCTTTGGTTATTTGTGACCTTTTGTGTTCCTGGACCTCTGATGTATGAGGGAGCTTCAATAATGAGAATTGAGAGATTCATTAGTGTCCTCTTTACCCCTGTTCTATGTTCCATGAGCATTGGTGTAGAGGTTGCACTGTGGATGTGTCACTTGGCCTGGGAAATTCATAGACAATGTCTGTGTGTGACCAGTTGTGATACCTGGTAATAGTCTCTGGTTCAAAAGAAGCTTCTCTGATGAGTGGTGACTAGGATATTTGTCTGTTGGATAGAAGACCCCAATCTTAGCTGAAGAAATATTGGCAACTGATTACTGCTAGGTGAGGAAGAGCTGATCTTCCTAATGCAAGGGACTCTAGATAAGCTGACTAGACCTCAGTAAATGAACTTGCACCAAGGAACATCTGGGAACACTAACTTGACACAATAGGCCTTAACACAAATGACAAAAATGTATGAATTCCAGTGGGGGGCTATGAGAGGGTATTGGTGGGGAAGGGGGTATAAAGATGATTAAGATTGATTGAGATGTTCTGTATTTTACACACAAAAATTCAATAGAAACAAATCAAAAAAAGTAAAAGAAAAACGATGAAGGAAAGTCTCCATGAACTCCATAGGCACATAACCTAAAACTGGAAAAAGAGTTTCTGATAGGAAAGACATAATCCTTGCAGCAAGTACACAATGGAGAATAGGTCCCCTACACTTCGTAGTTTCCTTACCTATACTGTGGGGGATGAGGAAGGGCCTTTTCTTTTTTCTTTTTTTTTGAGAGATTTCCATGTAATATAATTTGATGGTATTTAGATCCCCTCCCCTATTTGCCCCATCTGCATCTCCTCTTATTTACCCCTAACTCAACTTAATGTATTCATTATATATAATAAATATATTTATATATGGCCTATAGAGTCTAATTTGTGTCCCCAAATATCCTTCAGTGTGGGTCCATCTACTGGAGCTTGGTTTACCTACCAAGAGTTCCATCCTTGAAAGAGACTGTCTCTCCTTCTCCTAACAGTCATTAGTTGCCAACATTTTCTTAGATTGGGTTGGAATTTCTTACCCACTTCCAAATGTCTATGCTGGGATTTTTGTCTTGTTTGAGCTTGCATGGGATTTGTGCATGCTGTCACTATTGCTGTGAGTTCATATGAGCAACGGATCAGCTGTCTGGAAAACTGGTTTCCTATGGTCATCCAACCTCTGCTCTTACAATATTCCCAACCCCCTCTTCTACAATGGTTCCTGAACCTTGGGAAGCAGAAATTTGACACAGGTGTCCTAGTCTGGGATAAGCACTCTGCAGCCTCTTGTTTTATGCACATCGGCTATTTGTAGATTTCTATGTTAATCACAATCTTCTACATAAGGCAGTTTCTCTGGTGAAAGTTGAGAGATGCATTAATCTATGAGGATAACAATGTCATTAGCAATCAGTTTGGTATAGTAACTATTTAGCAGAAAACCAGAATTAGGTTTTCCTCTATGTCCCTTGACCAGTCTAGCCTCAGTTTCCTAAGCCTGATACCAGTGTCAGGTATGGGCTCCATCCTATGAAGCAGACCTTAAATCCAATTAGAGTGGTTGGGTAGTCCCATAATATTCATAGCTATTTTAAAAGTGTTGTACAGTCAAACCTCATGAACAGGAGGATGGTGGACCCTGTCTTGTTAAATCTCCAGGTTCTAACAGGCTCTCCTTTTTAGCTAAATGAGCAATCACTCCAAGAATCAGAGTGAGCACAGGAAACTGGTTGTAACTAGGGTGCCGATGTGTGGAAACATATACCAGGTGGGAAAGATGGGCAGTGCTACAGAGGGAAGCAGAGGATGCTTCCCATTTTAGAACAGTGGTTTGAGCTCTTGGAAGAACAGTTGTGTGTGAATATGAGCAGGGTTGGGCTAGAAACTGATGTGGCCAAAGTAAGGAAAGATCAGTTTGTATCTGTACCCCTGGCTCCTCCCACCTCTCCATGCAGATTGCTTTAGTTAGATTTGCCTTCTCCATATCATAATTCCTGAGACATATGATGAAATATAGCCAATGTTTGGGCATTTCCCAGGCACACATGTCATATGATCTAGTTATACCACTCCTAGGCATGTATTCAAAATATTCTTAAGTCAATATAGCACAAAGATATTTTCACATCGATGTTTATTGCAGCACTATTCAAAATTAGCTACATTCTGGACCAATCTAAGTGGTCCAACAATGGAGGAAGGGTAAAGAAATGTGATGTGTATATACAACATAAGTTTCTTAGCTATAAAGAATAAAGTTATATTGTTTGGAGGAAGATAGCTGCAACTGAAGATAACAATATTAAGGAAATCAAACCAGTTTCAGAAGACAAATATTGTGTTTTCTCTTATTTGTGTTACCTAGATTTTATATAGATACATAAAATCATGTCCATATGTACATATATGACATGAATATAGTAGAAGTGAAACTGTCAGAACAAAGGTGACTAATAGGGAAGAGGGTAAGAAAGGGATGGGCATGAGGAAAATGTGATCAACGAACAACTTATACTGTGTGAATTCCTCATATTTAACAGTGCCATGGAAAATCATTGTATATAATGAAAACTCAAAACCAAAAAAGTACTCAAAATATAACAAAAACCCCAACAATGAAAGCTATCAAAATGGTTGAAATACCAGTTGAAGAATTCAAAAGTCTAATTTGAAAAATCATCAGTAACCTCAAAGAGGACAGAAAGTAGATCAAGAAAGTAAGAAAGCCAAAAATTCGATACAATATTCCACCAAGAGCTAGAGATTAGAAATGAAATATTATAAATGAGTATTTTAATAACTCAAATAAAAAAGTAAATGGAAAGCACTACCAATAGATTAGGTCAAATATAAAAATATCAGGAATTAAAGATGAGGCTGAAGATTATGACATTAACATAGTAATAAAGGTGTGTATGGGGATCAACAATAAACAAACTCAGAACCCTGAGAGGTGATTCAGAGACCACTTAGTCTCACTTAATTCAGTCTTTTCTGTAGAAGAGTGAGTTGAGACACATGCTAAAGTCACAGAAAACTTGATGAATTAATGTATAGCAGCAAATTTCTTAAATGTAGTGATACATAGGAACATCCAAATACAGGCAGTATTTAGAAATGCAAATGGACATGGGCAAAAAATTACTCTGCCATAGTTAAATGGCAGGAGTTTAGAACAAAGTAATAACACTGAAAACTGTAGGACAGAAACACTGAGTTATATATAGGGCAAACTCTTCAAAAGAATAACCAACTTTTCAGGAAAAACTCTAAAGGTCAAAAGAACATGGAATAGTTCAAACCCTAAAAATAAATAGTTACCAACAAAGATTACTTACTATATATAGGAAGAATTTCTTATATTTACGGAGAAAGAGGCCTTCTACAAAAAGGAGAAATTAAAGCAATTTATTATTATTAAGCCAGCATT